GATGAGGAGGACAAACCACAATCACATTTACTGCGATTACAAGAGAAGTTTAAATCCCTGTAAGAGACCAACGAGATCCTCTTCCAAGCAAAGTGAAATAAACTGATAATTTTAATTTCCTCTCTTTCACATGGCTGTCATTAAAAAAAGTCTGACAGCCGCACGTAAGTACAGGTTTAAGAATAGAGGCTGTGATTATTTTCAGCAGCCGGCTTCTATAGATACACTGAGAAAAATAACTTGGAAGTAAGACATGAGGCCATGTATTGCCTGTCTCCAAATCCTTCTCCCTCTGCTTTGAGATCAAAACAAAGACTGGGAAAAAGCTTTTGCAACCTCAAAACCAAACACACCAGAACAAAGGATAGCACTCTAGTTTGGAGATTATAAAATTCAATTGGGAAAAGGCATTATGGGAAAAATAGGAGAGTAAGCTAGAGAATGTGCTATGGAAGTGAGCCAGGTATCACAATACTAAAAGAATACATTAGTGGAGATGACCCCATTGTTTAATGGAAATATGAACTCATTTTGGACTGCTAGAATGCATTTGTCTAAGCAAAACTGAACGATTACATATTACCAGTGAAAACTGTTGGAGAATTCATGAAGTGCCAGATGATTGGAAGAGGGCAAATATTGTCCACATCTTAAAAATGGTAGAAAAGGAATCTCCAGTAAAATATAAATCAATATTTTGGACACTAATGACATTACAGTAGCTGAAAAGCTACCTCAAAATTCATCAGCAGGTCCTCATCAAAGGAGACAGATACTGAATGATGGATATGAGTCAGTCCTGAGATTGCTATACTTCTATATTTTTATTAGAAAATTTGGATAAAGTCTTGTAAATGATACAAGTTGGATTGAGCTCATTAAAGCTCAAACAAATAATGTCAAAGAGGGATAAAAATTGAATGATGCAAGTAATGAGATAAAGAGACTATCTGATAAACTGAGAAACAAAAAAGGACAAGTTTTAAAAATGGAAGAAGGGAAATACAATAAAAGCTGGATATTCAAGAATAGGCAGGGACAGGGGTCAAAGCATCTTCTGGCTAAGTGATCTCTCTCCAGAATGGGACAACTTGCCACAGCCTTCTCGCTGCAGCCAGCTTGCCTTGATCAGCTTGCCATGGCCAACTTGCTGTGGGATAGCTTGTCATGGCCAACTCACCATGGGACAACTTGCTGCAGGACAATATAATAATTCAATTTAATTATTCAAAATAAATTTAAAAATATTTTAATTTTTGTCATTCACATTTCATTCTGTTCCTCCTTTTGAATCCTTTCTTTAATTATTCTGTTCCACCATTTCTTTGATATTAACTCTTGTCCTGCAGCAAGTTGTCCCATGGCAAGTTGGTCATGGCAAGTTGTCCTGTGGCCCACTTGGCTGTGGCAAGTTGTCTGTGACAAAATGTCATAGACCCTCCATGCTCTCTGTGTGTGTCTAGTAGCACAGATATAATAGTGACAGCTGCCACTCAGAATTTTGTGTGTATGTTTACAACACACACACACACACACACACTTTATAATATTTTCACATTTTTGTCAGTTAAACTGTGGACTTGTATATTCTGATATAAATAAAATATTACAGAACAATGGATTTGGCCTTAAGACCCCAAAGATGAAAAATCAATAGTTTATCCATATATTATGAATGTGCAAGATATAACACTATATATATGGCATAGATTCATATGGATTAGATGGCATTTACAGTTTCCTTGTTATTATTCAAAAGCAAACCCATCTATAACTTTATTGAAACCCTTACACTTTTCTTAACATTTTAATAAGGATATGTATGCATACATTCATGAAAATCTATAAAAGAGAGGGATGATGGATATATTTAGCCGTTCATTAAATACACCAGCATCTGTCCCTTATTATCACCCTTTGGGAAAACAGAGAATAAAACAAACACATAGGAAGAATTTTTGATTAAGGAGCTAATTTGTTTATTAATTGCTTTCTATAGATTTACCAGTCTATTTCTATAAAAAGCAAGCACATGAACTAAAGAAAAATGGTCAAGAGGTTTGGAATATAATACATTTAAACTAGACTAGAATTTGTGACTGCAGACTGGTTTGACAGCTGAGTTGGTACCACAAGAGCTGCCTGCAACAAAACTACATTAAACGTTTGGCTTCACTTCAGATTTGGCTTCTGCGATAGCCAATTGGTTTTGATTCAAGCCCTCCCAAATGTGATGGAACTGATTCATATTCAGCAGATTTTTAAAATCAATATACTGTAATTCCAATGCACAATAGTGAATCCAATTGTGATTCCTCCTCTTCAGGAATTACCTGTTAAAGTAAGTTTGGGTTTCTGGAACTTCTGTTCAGTTGACCATTCAAAAATTAGTAAATGTGATGTGGGACTATGCAGCACAGTGTTGTACTGGTTCCATTCCTTCCTTTCTCTATGGTCAGTTCTATTCGATGTTGTTAGGGGGTGAGAGATCCAGCCCATGGCCATTCCTTTGTGAGGTACTGCTCTGCTTGGTACTTTCTCCATTCTTTTTAACATATATAAGAAACGGCTGGGTGACTGACACCACGGGGTGAGATATCATCGATATGCTGATGACACTCAGCTTTACATCTCCATCCCTGGTGATCCAAGTGATGCTGCAGCTGCCCTTTTTCAGTGCCTGGAAGTTGTGGCCTGGATGGGGCCTGGATGGGGAACAACAGACTTCATATGAACTCTGGTAAGACGAAGTTGCTGTGGACACATGGAGCCTTGGGATCTGGAGATTTATCATCTTTAGTTCTGGATGGGATGGCACTACCTCAAATAGACCCAGTGCATCACTTTGAGATTCTCCTAGACTTGCAACTCCTCCTCAAAAAGCAGGTGGCCGGTGTGGCTAGGACAGCCTTTGCACAACTTCATGTTGCGTGCCAACTGCATCATTTTTTGGCTCCTGTGGCCCCTGCATTCAGTAACTAATGCCCTCGTCATCTTGTTTGGATTATTATTATAATACGCTTTACAGGGGGGGCTACCCTTGAAGAGTATTCTGAAACTACAATTGTCCGAAATGTGGCAGTGCAGACAGTGTTAGAGGCCCCTAAGTTGGATTTGCATATGTAACACCACCGTTATGCAAGCTGCCCTGATTGCCAATCTGCTTCTGGGTCCAATTCAGGGTGTTGCTTATCACATTTAAAGCCCTCTATGGCATGAGTCTAAGATATCTGAGGATCTGTCTGCTCCTGATCCTATTGGCTGGCCCCACTCATGCTGGCAGTAGAGGTCTACTGCAGATCCCATCGGCCGAGGAATTTTTGATGGAGAAGATCTAGGCTGGAGATCTAGGTTTGGTATAATAACAATGAAGGCACCAACACTGCTCTGCTCCAAACTCGTGTTTTTTTAGATTACTTTTAATCTTCTGTAATTTCAATCTGTTTTTAATCGCCTGTTGTGACTTTCTGACAAGCCAAGACAATGGGAGTTAGATTCACTTAACAACTATGTCACTAACTGGACAACTGCAGTAATTCACTTAGCAACTGTGGCAAGAATGGGGCAAAATTCGCTTAGCAAATGTCTTGCTTAGAAACAGAAAATTTGGACTCAAATTGTGGTCATAAGTCAAGGTAAGTAACTGTGGTTACTGATGCAATATGGTTGTGCCCTGGAAATGAATCTGACAATCCACAAAGGCAATCAGAGAGGTACAAACAGGCCTTCAAGGTAATATTTCAATATGTGACCTGAACCATTTGTAAGCATTTCTGAGTTGTATATAATTGGCCTTTGTTTATGATCTATGACTCTCACTCAACCTTGTGCTTTTTTATGGTAGGGAGGAATCCTGGGAAATGAAGTGCAAACATTTTAGATAAGCATCAGTAAAGATGCTAGAAATCAATCCAGCTTTTTTTTGGGGGGGGGGGGGGGGAGGCATCTTTAGAAGCTTTCTTTGGTTCATTTCTCCACAGAGATAATAATGCACTTGGAAAACTGTGGAAGCCAGTGATAAATCCTGTGTTTTTATTTGGTTTGTTTATCTATTATTTCCCATAGGGTGACTTGCTTTATGTTTCTTCTCACTTTATTTATTTCCAGGAATATTTCATTCGAAAGGCACAGGCATTTTTTTTTTAATTATTTGCAGTTATCCAAGGACTTCCAGGGAAAGTAAAAAAGGTTTGATGGAGTCAGCCCCTCAGGAGGAAAAGCAAAGCAAAGTGTAACAAATATTGTGATGAATGTGCTTAGAGTGCCAAATGCATCATTTTCATCATCCAAGAATCTCCCTCGCTAACATTAAGCTAGAATTATTTATATTTTTAATTGGCAGGGCTGGATACAATGAGAATTTTTTGAGGGGGGCAATGAAATACACAGTGGATTTTTGGCACCTGAAAATCTAATAGTAGTCTTCCTTTAGCTGTATTGTACCATAGACTAGCCTTTCCCAACCTGGCCCCCTCCGAAGTTGTTAAACAAAAAATCCATAATTCATAGCTTTTCAGATCCTGGCTTAACTCACACATACCAATAGACCTAAATTGGTTGACTTCTCTTGGTTTACTGGAAATGGGCAGTATGCAATATATAAAAACAATATTCAGTCCTTTTAATGGGCTACCCAGTTCTTTCTTTTGCAGATAGGAAATGGTTTCCATCTGTCCCTTGCTTTGGCAATGGTCAGAGTTATCGCTGGGTTTTTTTTTAATTGACTGTACGAGAACTAATTCTCCCATGCTCATACAATACATAAAATCAGATCTGTTGGTTATTGTAAATGGAAATATGTGAGATACTTGTTTACTTGCTGATAATCAACATAAACCTAAGAAAAATAAAACAATAATGACAACAACTAAACCTTGACATTATTTGTTCAGGCTGGGTTGAAAACAACAGTTCAGCTGTCACATAAATGAATCCATATCCAATAAACAGCACATTCTGGTCTCAAAGGCAATCCGCGTTCTACTTAATCCAGGGCTTACCATTACTATATTGGCTAAATGAGCAGAAATAAGAGCATACACCCCTCCAGATGAACCCACAACAGGTGCAGTCATATCAGCAATGGACACTGCCAGGGAACCTTGGAGAAATACAAAACAAATACAAAAAAACAAGGTAAGTACAAATGACAAACATCCCCTCCCACCCTTTCTATGAATACAGGTAGTATTATACAGGTCGTAGACTTACGACCACAATTGTGCCCAAAATTTCGGCTGCTAAGTGAGACAGTAGTTAAGTGAGTTTTGCCCCATTTTTACGACTTTTCTTGCCACAATTCTTAAGTGAATCATTGCAGTTGTTAAACACGGTTGTTAAGTGAATCTGGCTTTCCCATTGACTTTGCTTGTCAGAAGGTTGCAAAAGCTGATCACGTAACCTGGGGACATTGTAACTGTCAAAAATATGAGACAATAAGCGAGTGAATTTTGGTCACATGACCATGGGGATGCTGCAATGAAAAACAGTCGTTTTTTTCAGTGCCATTGTAACAGAGCAATCACTAAATGAACTGTTGTAAGTCGAGGACTTCCTGTACTTTCTTGAAAAAGACTGAGAGTTCAATTGCCAATCTATATGGACATATTGTTTGATTTAACAGCAAAACTGAAATTATCTTCTACCAATTTTTTTTTCCAACTACCCAGTCAGATCAAAAACCTTAGGATTTCTTCTTGGTCTTACATCCAACTAGATCCATCCCTTTTTAACCTTTTTGAGGTCAGCCAAGATTGGGTAGCTCCTGCCATCTGCTGTGACGAAAGGGATAATATCATTTTACTGTCCAATAAGTTGTCCTGTTACTCAGTCTTTGCAGAGAAAGCTCTCCAAAGTAAAGGGCTCATATATATGTTTTGCCATATGATTAGATTAGATTAGATTTCAGTTGCCAGATTCCATTACATGATTTTGTGGGATGTCCTAGACATCTGTAAAACGTTTTTTTTTTTTAAAAAGTAAAACATTAAACATATATAAATATATATAATTTTGAAATGGGTTCAAAATTAATGTGCTTCAGCCCTACATCCTGAGGGGAGTTTTTAATGAGTTTAAAAGCAGGTCCACTTGCCAGATGTCTTAAATATAATTACAGTTTCTTTTATACTGCTTCAAGAATTTAGATTACCATCCTGTTTTGGAAGAGTGCACTCCACTAGCATGCAAAAACATTTCTTTTTCAATAGGCATTTGACTTGGCCATGGCTTAATTCTTACATTGTGATTGCCCTTCTGGTCTATACAGGTAGTCCTCGCCTTATGACCACAATTGAGCCTAACATTTCTGCTGCTAAGCGAGATGTTTGTTAAGTGAATTTTGCCCCATTTTATGACCTTTCTTGCCACAGTTGTTAAGTGAAACTCTGCAGTTGTTAAAATTAGTAACACGGTGGTTCAGTGAAGATGAAAAGTCATTTCCCATTGATTTTCTTTGTCAGAAGGTCACAAATAATGATCACACGACCCCGGGATGTTGCAACCGTCATAAATATGAGTCAGTTGCCCAAAAATCTGAATTCTGATCACGTGATCATGGGGATGCTACAATGGGCATAAGTATGAAAAATAGTCACAAGTCACTTTTTCCAGTCCTGTTTTAACTTTAAACAGTCACTAAATGAACTGTTGTAAGTTGAGGGCTATCCGTGTTGTTGCTTTGAGCCTGAACTTGTACAAAAGCTTTGACTATTGTTTACTTTTTAGTGCTTTTTATATCTTTTAAGTCAGTGGTCCCCAACCTTTTTTATGCCGCGGCCCGGTACCGGCATCAGCTGGGCGCCGCCATCTTGTTTTGACGAAAAAGTGCTTCCAGTGAGCTTTCTACCCGGAAAAGCTCACCGGAAGCACTTTTTCATCAAAACAAGATGGCAGCGCCCAGCAAACCAGCGGCCCGGTAGGATTTGTTCCACGGACCGGTACCAGTCCACGGACCGGTGGTTGGGGACCCCTGTTTTAAGTCACTCAGATGAGCTCCTTTTGCGAAAGAGAAGAATGGTGTTAAGTAGCTGAATTGGACAATTCTTTAAACCTAATGAATCAAAACAAGGCCCTGCTTTGTCCAATATATTCTGTCTCCCAGCAGCTATTCAGGGGGCCCAATAAGCAGTAAGAGACCACAAACAGGTCATGAGGTGGATTTTGGCCCTCACCAGTCATAAACATTTCATAGCTAAACTTAAAATATTTCAGGACAATGAGAGTTACAGTGGGCTGGATAGAGCTGAGATATCACATAATGTGATAAAAGCTCATTTGGAAGAGGGTAAGTTTTAGGCCCTGTTCCTTCCTTAAATGTTCATTAGTATGTTTAATGTGTCTTGCCTCAAAATAGTGGGAAGCAGTTTATCAACTGTGATAAGAGACGACTTTATTAGGCACGTACATTAATTTGGGGCCTGCAAACAGCCCATCCCTTTTGCAACGTCCTCTTAGCTATTGGGGTTTATAAAACATAATATATGGCTCAGCGTTATGAGTGCATCAGGCCATCGTAGCCTATTCAATAAAGCAACATTAAAAAAAAATCATGAGCTAATGCGACCGTTGGTGTGGTTTAGTGTTGTTGATTTCCTTGCACAAAAGACATTTATCAATCATGCATAATATTGTGAGAGAAACTAGTGGTGCCCAGCTAAGAAGCCAAAGAAAATGCCACGATAATAAACCATGAGACTCCAGTTTTCTTTTTCTGCTTGGTTGTTCTGATTAAGTGAACAAAAATTTCCAGGTTGCAACCAGCCAACAGTTTATGGGCAACCAACTGGTAAATTACACTGCAGAAATCACTTCAGGGGAGAATTATTGCTCACTGAAGTTAATTGCAACAAGACTGTCTTTGCTGTAGTTATTGCCAGGATAGCCATGTGCTTGTTAACAGCTTTAGAAATCAAACAAAAAGTACACTGATCGTGACATAACATGTAATAACAGGGCCCCTTGATGGAAATAGTTAACAGAGCTTCCTGTCTAACAAATGTTTGGAAATAAAATAACGGAGGGATGGTACACAAAGTCAAAGCTGCCATCACACCAAATCCATACCCAGAAAAAAGCTTCATGCAAGATAAAGAAAAGGATAGTGGAAAAATACAGGATTATTTATTTCTTTGGATTCTCCACACCCAACTTTCTATGTTTCTGGTCCAAAGAACAGACTCTGGAGAAAATACTACAGGTAGTCCTCAACTTACGATCATAATTGAGTCCAAATTTCTGTTGCTAAGTGAGATATTTGTGAAGTGAGTTTTGCAACATAAATTTTGGGCTTAATTGTGGTTGTAAGTTGAGGATTATCAATAGTGGCCTGAGTCACCATTGCCAGGGTTTCCTGCACTGGGTTGGGCCACAAATGTCTCAAATGAACCCGTAACACTCCTCCCCCTGGCTATGACTTTTACCTGTGAACCCAGCAGGAGCCAAAGGTCCAGGAAACTTCCTCCTCCATAGTCTTGGCAATCCCCAGCTGACAATTTCCACATCTCTTCCCAGCCTTATTGCTTCAGCAACTCTACAATCACGAATCTCCCAAAATCAGCCACTGGTGCCAGTAATATGAGTGGTTTTCCTTAGCTACCCAGTCCTTTTCTCCACCATCCTTCTCCAGAACTATCCATTCTTCCTATCTTCTCAGGATCAGCCATTCATCCTGATAAATCCCTCACCTGAACTTCTACAGCCTCTGAGACCCCATCTCACCTCCATGATTTCCCTAAATTGACTCGATTCCACACCAATTAACTAAAACTACCCCACCAGGGTCAATGGCTTCCTGGCCCCAGCAAGGCATCATGTCACTTCAAAAACCTTTTTATCTCCCAAAAGACTACTTGTTCTGCCTAAAAACCATATTTTGGTTTCTTCAACAGCTTCCCTCTCAGAACTCCTGCCCCTTTTCAAGCAGGTCATTTCAGACGTGAAAGCCTTGCTTGTTGATTGATTGATTGATTCATTACTCACTATTTTCAGGTTTTGTACTGCCACCATCTTATACCTCTCAGTGATTACAGGGCCACAGTAAAAACAAAAAGCAAATAGCCACAGAACTGAAATAACATACAGTCCAAATCTCAAATGTGAAATTAAACTAGGAGAGAATAATAAAAGAAGAAGAAGAAGAAGAAGAAGAAGAAGAAGAAGAAGAAGAAGAAGAAGAAGAAGAAGAAGAAGAAGGAGAAGGAGAAGGAGAAGGAGAAGG